CACATAGTGCTGGGTTCAGAGGAGGGTTTGACAAGGAGCTGATCGTGTATACAGCTACATATGAGTTCACAGGGAAGAAGTTGTGTGCATTGCTATGCAACAAAATATGGCTAGTTTCCACAGTGCTGATTTTCTTCTCTGGGAAAGGTTTAAGTACAAGGAGATTTAGGAGACATACCTTTGGGTGGAAAGTCCTCTCCACTTCTTCCATCCACTTGCTCTCCTCCACACAAGCAGCCTGGGCAGCAAATTCATTCAGCATGCTCCGCTTAGGGCCCTGGCCAGCTTTGCCTGTGACTTCCTTTTTCCATCTTCCTGCAGAGCTGTGTGGGGCAGGGTAGCAGCCAGAATAGAAATGACCCTGCTTTGTCCAACAGAAACAATTCTGAGGCTCACTTGCTGAGCTCAAATTGAGCTCTTCATATACCAACATGGCATCCCTTATTTGCTGGGCAGCTTCTTCCTTTATAGATGGGAGGCTCTTAAATGCATCCCTGTTGGCAAGCAAGTCTGCAAAATTGGAGAATCCCTCAGCACTGAGAGGGGAGAAAGGAGGAATGCTACACCTCTTTGGTCTTTGCTGTGGTGTTCCTCTCAATATGCTCAAAGAGGAAACCCCCCTATGACAGCATAACTCCTTTGGGTTCTGGCATCCACAGTGGGCCAGTAATGTAAACTGGGTGCTCCATTAGTGGGCTTTTGAGAGGAGTGTCTCACTGCACAAGAGCAAAACAAAGCTTATCATTCAGGAGGAGGTTGGAAGGGCCAGAAAAAAATGTCTCTTGGAATCCCTGCAAAGTCAATTAGTTATTGCAGCCCTCGAGGTGGACCAGAATTACAACTCCATTGTAATTGTAAAGTCACTGAAAGACGTATGCTCTGCTGGTGAACAGACTACATCGATGGTATTATACTCACTGAAGCAAAGACACTTCACATTCTCCTCTTGCCTTTCACTTGCAGCTATCAACCTGTTAGTTATGTTAATGTACTGCACCACAAAGGACATAAGAGTTGTTTGGACTCATTGTAGGACAAGGGAAATATAATGAGTCAGAGGTTACAGGATGAGATGCAGCCATCTCCACGCTTTATTTGCAAGATTATCCTTTTCCCTTCTACAAATAGACTGTCAGAAGCTATGCAAGGTATAGTGAGTCTTGGACTTTCTCAGCTAGCTGGAAGTCCCTGTTCACAAATTGTAAAAGCCTTAATTGACACTGGAGTGGAGGCCTCTAATATATGGAAATCCCAAGAAATGTAAAGGACAACCTGTACTTATTACTGATTTGAGGGGAAAAACAAATTGAAGCTGTGCAAACACAAATAGAAATGAAAATAGGGAACCCCTCAAAACAATTGTATTCAGTTATGATTGTTCCTGTCCCTGAATATATAATTGGGATTCATGTTTTAAAGGGACTGACTCTGAATCTTTCTGATGGTTTGTATCAATTTGGAACAAAGAACTATATTAATACCTAGACAATCTTAGCTGGAAAGGTAAAAATGCTCCCTGTGCAGGTTCCTGCTGCAGCAAAATTGGTGGCCAAGAAACAGCACAAGATTCCAGGGGGACATGAAGACATTTCACAGATAATTAAAGACTTAGTAGATGCAGGAGTTTTAAAATCCACTACCACAGCTTGGAATAACCTGATCTGGCCCATCAAGAGTGACAGGTGATAGAAAATAACTGCGGATTTCAGAAAATTAAACAAACGCACCCCACCTTTTATGGCAGCTGTACCAGATATTGTCACCTTGATAGAAAAAAAATCAGAAGCATTCGGAACTTGGTATGCAGTAATTGATTTGGCCAGTGCTTTCTTTACCATATTAATTGCTGAGGAGCATTGGGATCAGTTTGCCTTTACATGGCAGGGACAAGAATATACATTCACCAGACTGCCCCAGGGATGGTTGCACAGTCCAACCATTTGTCATTGAACAGTGGCTGAGCATTTGGATGAGACAGAACTGCCCCCTCATATGCAATTAATTCATTATATAGATGATATCCTGAACCAGGGGAGCGGTGAGCAGGAAGTGCTACAAGTCCTCGAATTAATTGTGGATCACATGAAAGAAGGGCTGCAAAATTAATCCTAGCAAAATTCAAGGACCATCCCAAGCAGTGAAATTTTTAGGAATTCAATGGCATTGTGGGCATCGGGAAACATTATCAAAAGCTCGACATAAAATTTTAGATTTTGCAGTGCCACAAAATAAAAAGGAGGCACAAAGATTCATCACATTATTCGGCTTTTGGAGACAACATATCCCACCTTTAGGACAAATCTTGACCCCACTATTTAAAGTAATGAGAAAAAAATACAAATTTGAATGGGGAAGTGAGCAGCAGGTTGCCTTTGAATTAGCCAAAGAGGCTATTCAAAGGGCTTTAGATTTATGGCCTATGCAAACAGAATTGTACCTGTGAAAAGGTCTCATGCTAATTGGAGCCTCTGGCAGAAACAGGCTAAAGAGAAGGTTCCCCTGGGGTCGTGGGGGAGAAAGTTGCCGGACACAAGAGCTAACTACATTCCTTTCAAAAAACAGTTATTGGCATGTTATTGGGCATTGGTAGAAACGGAATAACTTACAGTAGGATATGAAGTGACTCTTTGTCCAGAAATTCTTATTATGCAATTGGTTAAAAGTTGTCTGAAAACACATTGAATTGTGCATGCTCAGGAATCAAATATTATAAAGTGGAAATGATATATTCAGGATAGAGCCGAAGCAGGCACTGGAGGAAGAGCTACCCTTCACCAGCGAGTAGCTACTGCCCCCATGAGGGATCGAAATGTAAGTCCCGATTTTGCAGCCGAACAGGAATCCTCAGGATGATGGGGAAAAAGTTTAGATCAACTAACGCCACTGGAAAAAGAACATGCTTGGTTTACAGATGGGTCAGCTAAATATATAGGAGGAAAAAGGCTTTGGAAAGCAGTCTCTTACCATCCTCATTCAGAGAAGTTTTTAGAAACAACCAGAGAAGGGAAAAGCAGTCAATATGTTGAATTATATGCAATCTATATGGCTTTAAAACAGGAAGATTTAGGAAGATGCCATTTATATACTGATTTCTGGTCAGTAGATAACAGGTTAACTCCTTGGTTGCCAACATGGGTAGCCAAAGATTGGAGGATATACTTCAAGGAGATCTGGGGAAAGGAAGCATGGAAAGATATCTGCGAAATGGTACAAAGAATAAATGTGACAGTATTTCATGTTGATACCCACAATAACATGGACACTTTAGAATGACTTTATAACTCTGTTACAGACAAGCGGGCAAAGATTTCCCAAGTCGGACTGGAATTCCCTCAGAAGGAGGATAATTAAAGGCTTGGCAAAATGGGCACACCAAAAATATGGGCATTTTGGAGAAAAGGCCACTTACAGGTGGGCTCAGGAGTGTGGCATTCCAATGTCACTCGATATGACTGAAAGTACAATTGCCAAGTGCCCTGTGTGCCAGTATATTCATGGCCGGTGCCAAACATTGTAAAAGGGCAACTGGGGAGAGGAAAATTGCCAGGACAAATCCAGCAAATGGATTACATTGGACCTTTATCCCAGGACCAAGGATGTAAATATTTGTACTGTTATAGATACATACTCTGGATATTTAACTGCACATCTTTGTCAGAAGGCTACTCATTGTAGTACTTTCCACTATAGATATAATAATTTTGTATTATGGAATTCCATTACAGATTCAAACAGATAACAGGTCTCATTTTTGGAACAAACTTGTTCAACAACATGTTGAGCAGCAAAATATTCAGTGAGTTTTCCATATACCCTATTATCCCCAAGCTGCAGGATTGACTGAATGGATGAATGGGCTATTGAAAGAGCAGTTGAGAAAACTGGGAGATGGACACCTGTCCTGGTGGAGAACCCATCTCACAGATGTATTACATATCCTTAGGAATAGGCCCATAAGAGACATGGAGACCCCCTTCATACATATGATCACACCCCATTTGCAGACACAGCCTTCAACTGTGACTGAGATTTTATCTTATTGGGAAATTACCCCAGGAGCGATGGCCCCATACCAGGCCACTCCCGAGGCTGCGGGGCTGGATCTCTAAGCACTATAATTGATCAAAATAAAACCAAACCAGATGAAAGTTATCAACACTGGAATAGGAATTCAAATTCCCCTAGGACACTTTGGTTTAATACCTGCTTGTTCAAGTTTAGCTTTGAAAAACATCTATGTTATGGGAGGAGTGATTGATGCTGATTATCAAGGAGAGATTAAAGTGATGCTGTTAAATAATGGTGAATAAGATTTGGTTATTCAAACCCATGACAGAATAGCACAATTATTGATAGCCAGTTTTGAAAATGATTGTGAAAAAAGGGGATCCACCTCAAGTCACCACCATTTGTCGGGATAAAGGGTTTGGATCCATCAGTTTAAATAATGAAGCTAAAGTATGGGACCAAAGACTAAACAGCCCTCCTGAACCAGTTGAAGTAATAGCAGTAGGAAAGGACAACACCATTTTGATCATGAAACCTGGGCAGGAGAAATGGGAATATGTCCCTGCAATGAAATGATATTTGTGAGAATAACTAGATGGTATAAGATTTGTCATGCAGCTCTTGCATGGCTGCAGATCTGTTTGCTATAACGGCCCCTCTGGAAGAGGATATTATCCACAGCACCTGATCTGAGAAACCAACTTTTGCAGAGGACAGAGAAAACTGGAATGATGCGGCTATTGTCAGTATTGTTAATAGTATGTTATCATTACAACCCAGTTATGAACTGGGAAAATATATTTTTATCCTTAGGGGAAACAGTGGCAAGCACATTCAATCTCGGCAACTGCTGGGTTTCCTGGTGCCCAGGTGGAGTTGAAGATTGTCCTTGGATAGCCCAACCAATATCCCCTAGGTGGTGGATCAGTGACCAAAGTGACATACACAAAGGAACAGGAGTGAGTACAGTGATCCTAGGTGATTGCGCTTCCATGGGAAAGGCAACTATTGCCTTAATTGGACACAAGGACATGAGGTACAAGTGGAGAAAAGTGTTTGTGAATTGACTTTATGTTACAACTGTTGGACTCCTGATTGCCCTCCTTATGATTGTTATTCCTTATGTTATTCCTTGTGGTGTATAATTAATTAAGCATGCAATACAGGGAATGCAGGTGGAGTAACGTCTGCAGAAATGGATCAACCAATAAGCTATGCCACACTTGTAGAACAGCCGTGATTCACCTGGAAGTCAAAGGACCAACTGAACTGCTAGGGTCTGAACGACAGGCCCGAGTTAGGGTTCACTTACAGATGAATACAGCACTGCCTTTGTAGAAGTACACAGAACTCACTTATGCTAACTTGTGCCTAGGCCTGCCCATCTGCTTATGTTAACCTGAACGTAGGCTCATAAAAGTGTAACTGCCAGGTTCTCGTGCAAGTGTTTCCAATGGAAGCGTTTGCAACAGAAGCAATGGAGGGGCCTCTGCAGGCACTTAGAGGAAGAAAAGTGGGTGTGCGTTGGCCGGGAATCGAACCCGGGTCAACTGCTTGGAAGGCAGCTATGCTCACCACTATACCACCAACGCGTACGGGCCCAAGGGTGCTGCCTGCTCCTCCCAGGTCACAGGCTGGCTCTGCCTCCTCTTTCCACCCCCTATGCACATATACTCCCCTCCCACAGTCTCTCCAGGCTCTTCCTCATCCTCTCAAATCTCTCAACAGCAGGAGAGCTATGGGTTCCTAGACATTCTTCTCCTTCAGCTTGAACCTGCATGCTGCAGGGGCAAGGATATCAGGATTAGGAATTGCTCCTGGGGCCATGTGCGACTGCAACAGTGCAGATTTAGGATGGGGAAGTTCTCAAGCACTTTACATGGCACTTGACCTGTGGAAATGGGCAGTTCTCTGTGTTCACTGACCCCTGGAAATGTTGCATCTTGGCCTCTGTGACGTTTCACTAGACCTTTTCCTTCATTCTCGAAAAAGACCTTGTGCAGCACAGCATAGGTGGTGACTTGTGGTGTCTCCTTGTCCTCCAGCTGTCCACTCTGTATGGGAAAGCATTGCCCTCTGCTTGCCTGAGATCATTTCTCTATGCCAGAAACTGTGGAAGGAAAGACCTGCCCTCTCCCATTGCAGCCGGTCTACCTACAAGCACAGGGTATTGCCTGGTTTGAGTGGAACTCCCTGAAGGAATACATGCAGCAGCTGCACTGACATCTGTTAAAGTTAGTTTTCCTCAATGCTACTCTTTCTGGCATCCAAGTGCAGATGTTGCCATGAATGGCACAAAATGCAAAGCAGAGTTATTCTGTTTGTTTTTTTTTTCCCCCCCCTCCTCTTTTCTTCAGAAAGTGCATGATGAATCTGCACTCTTATCAACCTTTCTCCATTTTTAAAGACGTGCAGAAGTCAAACATACTTCCACAGGATTGGCGCATATCAAACAGAACCAACTTGTTCCAGCAACTTTCTGGAGCATGGGTGGAAGATACACAAGCTTCTTCAACATCTTAAATATATATCTGTTCTTAGGCAACAAAAGCAAACCCATGTTCTCAAAGTGCCATTGCAATACCTCCGTATCAGATGCATCAAGCATCTGATGAAACTGAATTGTCAAGAGGGATGCAACTTCCTAAAATCTGTTGACTGCAAGTGCAAGAGGGTTTGGCCAACTGGGTCAAGGTATCATCTCCAAAAATCGCACCTACAGTCAGGAGTTCACTCTCCATTCTCTGCATCTAGAACATTATGCTGAAAAAAATCAAATTAATCCTTTATTCTGACCTCAGAAATCAAAAGCTTGTGCCAGCACATCTGGACTCTGAGTGTTTTACACCTTCCTTCTACTTCAGTGTGGAACTACAGTCCACGCAAAGACTAAAGGTGGTGAATGTCTGTGTTAAGAGCCACAGCACCTAATAGGAGAATCATTCAGCTGCCTAACCACAGCTATCAAGTAATCATATAACATTTTAGATTATCCAGAACAACTGCAATGGGGTCTCAGCTGTGACTCAGCACCTGCAAGATACATGCATGCTCTTCTTGAGCAGGAACATTTAGAAAGTAACAGAAATTTTTTTCTCTTTCACGACTGCAAAGGCAAAAAAGAATTTTCAGAAATTCTGAAGTCCTAAGTCAATTCAAAGTCATAAGCTATTTTGTATGACTGAAATGGTTATTAATGATAGTTTCACCACTGTGTCGGTAGCAGGAGTCTTTCTTACTCTATGGTTACTCTACTCTTCTAGCTTGAAGCCAGATTCCCACCATGGGTGTGACTTTCCTAATTTGCAATCTGGAATTTATCCTGATTAAACTTAAATATCTACATACAGACATCTATATCTAAGCCATCTATTCTTTGTAAACAGAAAAACAGACAGTTTTGTAAAAGTAATGCAATTCTAAAGTCTTCCTTAATATTCATCAGGTTGCTATGCTCTAAAAGCACCTCTATTTCTAATACTAAATTAGAAATTAGACCAAATATGTGCATTGTTATCACCCAAATTTAGTGAGAACAATCTCCCTATGATCTGGCTCTGCCATCTTTTTTCAGCTGTCTTTACTGCTCTGCTCTGAATAGGGTTGCACTTGTAAGGACTGGCATTGATATTACCTAGTTTCCAGTGCACAGCTCTTAGGTAAGTGAGAGATATCAGCCCATCCAAATGAAGTTCTCCTAGTTCATCATAGCTGTATCTCATGATAAGATAACCTGTCCATTGAATATATCCATTTTTTCAAGGTATTTTTAACACAGAAAGGCTGTTTCAGTTTTGTATGTCTATCTACTGTTCATCTAATTTAGAGAAGATGAATCTCACCCTGTGATTGTTAAAGATCAACTTGTACAGGTTGCCCTGCTGAGCCCTTTCACTCTGGAGTCACTGGCATAGCCATACCTTATCACATATCTCAACCCAATTTTATCAGCAACTCTTAACTATTTCTGAGACCATAAGTCTATCCCAAACTACTAATTCTTCTGTTTTTGTTTGTTTGTCCTTTTAGGATGCATCCTGTTGAGGAAGTGAAGCCAGAAAACCAAACCATCATTATCCACTTTATACTTTTGGGGTTTGCCTTCCATGGCAAGATGCAGCTCCTGTTTTTCACAGCAGTTTCCATCGTGTTCCTGGCCACCATGATAGGGAACTCTCTTATTGCTGTCATCACAACCATTGACCCTGCCCTACACACTCCCATGTACTACTTCCTAAAGAATCTTGCCTTGGTGGAGATCTGCTACAGCTTGAGCATTGTCCCCAAGATGCTTGTGACTCTGCTGATGGAGAGAAAAGTCACTTCCTTCACAGCTTGTGCCCTGCAGCTCAGCTGTGTTGTACTTTTTGTCACTTGAGAAGTGCTTCCTGTTAGGAGCAATGGCGTATGACCGGCAAGTGGCAATATGCCATCCATTACACTACAGCACGATGATGAACAGGAACGTCTGTGTCAAAATGGCTATTGGGTCTTGGCTATCTGGTGTCCCCATGGCTGTGGGTTTCACCACATGGTTATTTACCTTGTCTTTCTGTGGGACAAACAAGTTTGATCATTTCTTCTGTGATGTTTCTCCTGTTTTGAAGCTAGTGTGTGCAAATACAACCTTGTTTGAACTATTGATTTTTATTGCTCTTGTCGTAATAGTGATGATCCCATTCTCACTGATATTCATCTCCTACCTTTGCATTATCCATGCTGTGCTTCAGATACCCTCAGGTGTGGGCCAGAAGCAGGCCTTTTCTGCCTGTGCAGCTCACCTGATGGTAGTAACTTTTTTCTACAGCACAGTTGGCATCATTCACCTGCAACCCAAATCCAGGCTCTCAACCACCATGAAGAAAATGGTTTCCCCCCCACTTACACTGTTGTCACGCCTATGCTGAACCCCATTATCTACAGCCTGAGGAACCAGGAAGTCAAGCAAAGTCTGAGGAGATGTTTTGACAGAAGATTACGTATGAAGCTGCTTGCTGGTTTATTTTTTCTGATGGCGTGAGGGACTCCTGGATGAAGAAATAATTGTTCTCCTAATAACAGATTACTATGTATTTGTATCATTTATATCTGCTTAACTTTTCTAGCCATCATCTTTTTTTCCCCTCGAAAAAACAGATCCAGATCACTTCTTTAAAAAGTTGATATTGGGAAATTAAAATATGCAGACTCCATAAATTCAACATCTTCCATGCATTTTAATCAATCCATGTTGTTCTGCAAAATTATTACCTAAAAATTATTCACACCTTGTAAATATTACCCTACTTCTATAATTATATTTCTCCTTTGTTAGAAGAAAGGCAGTCTGGGTCTGTATGACACATACTTTTATTATTAATACTTTAATTACCTAAATATCCAACTGAGTTTTGGCCTCTTTCTGTATTTATACACCAATATATCCACCTGCCTATTTGCCCTGCTGTCTACTTATCAAGCATTTTTTTCCATCAATCTGATACAAAGCTTAAAAAAGGTATTTGTCTGTCTAATTCTTGGACATATAACAATAAAGATTCTCATTGTTAATTCCCACTAATTCTCCACTCTTCTTTCTCTCATCTTGTTGTGTTCATGTCTAAGTTCTGGTTGGCATGTGTCCTAATGTGACCTGTCTCTAGAAATGGGGCAATAGTTTGGTCCTTCTGGTACATCATACTATCAAGTGAAAGAGTTAAAAAAATATTCCAAATATTAATAAAAAGTTACTTAAAGTATGACATGATTTCTTGTAACTAGGGGATTACACAGCCCAGCTGAGTGTGCAGCTGATTTTACATGAAAAGCTACAGAAGGAGCTGCAGCTCTTAAAGGACTCTAAGGCAGCTTTATTTCTGCTTTCAAAGGGACTGGTGAGACGGAAGATTTTATCAATGACATCTTAGTTCTTTGGGATTCATGAGAGAAATGACCACAACCCACAAAATGCTTAACCACAAGGATAATGCTCATTTTTGTCTGACATGGTCAGCTGCTACTGGAAATGTGCATTCTTTAAATTCATTTGGAGCGTATATATTTAACAGTGTCAGGCTTAAAAATAAGAAACAAACAAACAAAAAATCCCCTTTTATGTCATGTGTTCATTAAAATCCTCAAGTCCAAGCAAATTCTTACTGAATGCTAATTTCTTCTGTTAGTACCAAGTGAGTGTACAGAGAATCAGAGGCAACAAGAAGCTCATTATAGCTTCCTCACTCTAACAAGCCCTAGGGGAAAAGTTATGCAATGTGAAGGGCAGGCACAGAAGTAAACTTTCCTGAAGTTTTAATGGGGCCTGCGGAGAGGTGTTAGAGGTGGAGCTGTTAGGGGAAATGCAAGTGTCCCTCCCAGGAGGCTGATTAGATGAGAAAATCAGAGATGTGTTTACAGGAAGACAAAAAAGTTACAAACTTTATAAGAAAGTAGCTCTTTTCAGTCCATCTGAAGGAGATGCTTTCTGCCCTCACGTGCTTGAGGTTCCTGTCTGGATGTGTGGTGCATGCAGAAGGGCTGCAGCAACACAGCACCCCTGCACACCCAGGCTCCTGAAAGGGAGCAGAGGCAGCACGGCAAAGCAAGCTTCAGACATCTCTTTCTGCTCTCCTGGTCGCCCTGACAGACATCAGCCATGGGGCTGCCAACAGTATAGACCTCTCTGTTGTGGTGCAGCTTGACGATATCCATCTCTGACGCGCACAAGCACAGAAATGCATATCAGCCTGGCCTACATATTACCTGGGGCTACCCTCCACCCCAGCCTGCCGGGCTCAGGAACTGCTGCACAGACCTGAAACCTAGCCCTAGGACCTCAGCTTCCCTGGCACTCCTCAAGCCTAGCCTGTAAGCCCCCAGCAACTTGACACCATATAGATGGTGGCCATCTTCTCCTCACAGAGAGGCTCCAGATCCAGACCTATTCCCCATCCCACCACACCCCACTGCTCAAGAACTGCCTCTGAGCCATAAATTACAGCCAGCTGTACTTAATACCTGCCCCTACTATACCCAAACTTCCCTTCCCTCCCAACATCATTCTACGTTTCCAGAAATGGATGGGTGATCTTCGCACACAGAGAGCACCTTCCCCCAGATGATGCAGTACTCCTCAGTGATAGCTCACAAGCACAAGTCATTCCAACATCGCTGTCTAGCTCCACTGAGCGGGTAGCCCACTTCTCACTCCTTGTGTCCTACTTTCTTAATTATCACAAAGCCTTGGCCAAGTCTCTGCAAAAATGCTGCCTCCTAGACCCTACCACCTCAGTAATACTCCTCCAGCTCACCAAATGCCTCTCAGTCCTGAATTGCCAAGAGCATTCCCAAAGGGATATGAAATTCCCATCTGGAAATTACTCTGTCAAAGGATCCGAGAGCACCAACGTAAGCCCCTGGCAGTAAGTTTTGGTGGATTAATACTGGTGAGATGCTTCCTATCTTCAGTGCCTCTCATGTTCTATGATTCTGTGATTTATTTTTTATATGTGGCCAAAAAAAGTCCCAGAAGCCACAGCTCTTGATATGTCATTTATATACATCCATAAACATCCAGAGTGCTTTCCCCAGGGTTCCTCTGACTTTCTCATTCCAGAAGGTGAGATAAGTGGATTCGCCATGGATGTCACCAAGAGTAGAGAAGACAGAGAACGACTTGTTAAAAGCTGTGAAATTGTAAATTTTAGGTAACAGACAAGCATGAGAGTTATATAGAAAACAGTGACGACAATGAGGCGAGAGGAGCATGTGGAAAATGCCTTTTGCTTCCCTGTAGCTGAAGGGATTCTTAAGATGGCAATGCCAATTACAATGTAGGATGCTATAGTGAAAAGAAATGGCGGCCCAATACATGCAGCAGACATCAAAGAAGTTACAATTTCTATCAGGAATGTGTTACTGCAGGAGCATTTTATCATAGGTGTGAAATCACAGAAGAAATGGTCAAGCTCTCTGTGATCACAAAACATAATTTGCCACATCAACAATATGATAACAAAGCTAATTGTAAAACCACTTATCCAGGCACCAGCAGCTAGTGCCATGCAACATTCAGGTTTCATTAAGGTGGTGTAATGCAAAGATTTGCATAATGCTAAGTATCAATCATAAGACGTTACTGCCTGGAGATAACACTCTACCCCAACTAGGAAACCAAATATGAAAAACTGTGTCATGCAGCTTCTGCAGGAAATACTTCTGTCCCCATCAAGAAGCTGGACAACAGCTCGGGCAGGATAGTATTGCTGTAGCAAGTCTCCAAGGAAGAAAAATTGCCGAGGAAGAAGTACATCGGTGCGTGGAGATGCTGGGTAGCCACCACCAGCACAACGATGAGGATGTTCCCTGACATTGTCACTATATAGACCATTAAGAACAACACAAAAAGAGCAGGCAGACGATCAGGGAAATTACCAAATCCCAGAAGGATGAATTCCATAATGTAGGTTTGCTTTTGTTTTCCTATAGCTGACATTATGCCAAATCCTGAGAAAAGCAAACACTAAAATGTAATGCAAAAAATAATTAAGCTATTTTCAAAGCATATCTACAAAAATACACTTTTCAAAA